GAATAGAAAGAAAGTTTGGGAACGCTTGAGATTACAGGCTTGTTATCTCTACAAACCAAACAGGTGTTTTTGAAACTGAAATGTTTTTGCATGAATCATCATAGCATTTTCATGTAGATATTCTATATATTGACAGGCATGTCTGAATAAACTATGAAGTCTGAACTTTTTAGAGTTCCCGAAAACGGCGAAAGAGAAACAAAGAACAGCACAGATTGTCCTAACCCAGAGCAGTTGCTCTTAATGCCGTGGGGCCTTGCTGTTGAATTTGCTTACATTGCAAATTATGTGGAACTCGTAATTAATAACCGACTACTTTAAGATTAATTTTCAATTCGAAACTCATCAGGACATTTCTCTTATTTGTTGTTGCATGAGACTGCTAATTTAATATCCAGCTTCAAATTTGACATTTGGTTTGGGTAGACTCAAGTACCCCTGACCTGTTGTAGGAGTGTGACCACGTTTGAGATTAGCGTAAAAAAATGATCTGTAGGCGGTAGGTTTTTTAACTTGTGTTAATGTTGACGTTCTCGTGTCATAAAGCAGCTGCTTGATTTTCTTTAAACTGCGGTAAATTGTTTGAGAGGCAGTTATTTTACCTTCATTTGATGGATTGAAGAGGATAGAACAAACGTTTAAGTTTCAGAGCATGTTTTCGAAAAACTTTGAGATATTTTTTATTATACGCGCACCTTTCCTCAAACAGACGCCGAATAAGAGTAAGCATTTGCTTGGAAACATAGCTTCAAATTAAGTACCATCTGTTCCCTAACGAGGGTAGGCAATTGAACGTTTCAGACTGTTTTTAGACCTGTTTCTCGAGTAAATATGTATTTGGGTCCTAAGAAACTTATTTTACCTGTTCCCAGTCTAATGTAGATTTCACGGTAAAAGGACTAATATACTCATTCAGAAGTCGGAGAGGATATCTGGTCTTTTTATATTTTTTGAAATGAAATATGACAAAACCAATGACTTTCCTGAGAAAAGGTGTAAATGTTCAAAGCTTCAACATTAGGAACTCTATGATGCGGTTGAATTTTTTTATGTCGATACCTTGTCACCAGTCTCCACCATGGTGTTGACAGCAAACGCCTTCCGCATAGTGGCGCGGCATAGGAAGTAATAACCGTGGTTTGATCTCGTTTCATCACGATCACGCGTCAAGTATACTTCAAACAGCATTTCACACGTCACGAATTTAAAGGGAAAACTACAAATCTCTCTCCTTGTGTGCAAGGTTTCAGGGAAATCGTGAGGTTTTCCTGATAAAAACTACAGGAGGCAGATCACGCCTCACACTGATCAAAAACTCACACATATATTATTTTTTGCCTTAGTCACGCGTCACGGATAAACTTTTGCCATCCTCTAAAACCGCTAAAGACAAAACTATCTCGTCCAAGGCCTATGCAATATTTTACTTCTTAGCGCACAAGCGGCTGAAAATATACGCCAAAAAATCCATTTTTTTACCGTTTGCCATAAAAGTTGTTCCTTACAACCTCTCTCAGCAATGATTTTCCACGTCAGAATTCCATAACACAACCCCAAGTATCAGCTACAGCCATAAAACCAGCGAAGTCGAGCTAGCTAAATTGTTAAAGCGTCACAGACCAGAAAACTAACAGACTATCATCCAATGACTTATTTCTTGATTAGAGACAAAAAGTTTACCGCTGCATTTCATTGTACCTCTCAAGAGGTCTGATTTGCGTATAAAAGGTGAAAATTTCAATCAAGTCAAATTTGGACTGATGATGCTTCTATTGAGTACATTTAGGCTTGTAAATTTGAAATAAACAAGACATGTTAATTATTTATGTCTTTCTTTTCTTTTTTTTTTAACAAAGCAGCTCTTTAAAATGCGGTGGACTCCCCGCGGTCTGCGTTTGCTTAACTTCTGTATTACTCGCGGCAGGTATTAAATTACGAACTATTTTAAGATCAACTTTTAATTCGAAACCCAACACATTTATTCTATTAGTTATTTAAATTAGGCTACTAACTTAAATATCCAATATCAAATTTTACATTTTGTTTAGTTAGATTCAAGCTAAAACTCCCTGAGCCAGTCAACGAGTGTGAACACTTGTGAGGTCAGCGTGAAATGGAGGTTTTTAACTCAAATATATTTTAATTTTTCTGAGTTGCTGCTTTGCGTTTTCTCGTGCATCTATTGTCACAAAAGCAGCTGCCCATCGGGAAGAAAAGCATGTTGATTTTCACTAAACTTCGGCAAAAAAATTGACATCTATCTGTTTTACAATGATGGATTGAAGGGGATAACAGTAAAATTTCAGTTTCAAAGTATGTTTTCAAAATGTTGAGATATTTTTAATCTCACGCCTACCTTTCCAGACGGCATATAAGTAAGGTGTGCCTGTCAATAAACTGCATATTGAAAAGGAAAGTTTTGAAATTCTATGCAAAAACGGGAATAAAAGCATCGCAGCAACATCTGCGGGAAGGCAAATGAAAATTACCGACGGTTTTTAGACTTATTTCTCGACTTCTGCTGTTCCTTTCCACTAACTTAACATGGAAGTGAATTGCACAGAGGAACGTCTCAGCAATGCAGCGTCCATTGTACTTTCAGCGTGGCTCCCCTTGTCTGGTTTAGCCGCTGTAACTGGAAATGTGGTTGTGTTATGGCTGTTCTACAAACACAAGTCTTTACGAACAATTTCAAACCGGTTTTTAGCCTCGTTATCCATGGCGGACGTTTTTGTCGGCCTCGTCATAGATCCTTATTGGATTGTTATCAGATGTTGGATTCAGCCAGAAGTTCATAGCAATTTGTTTATGATTACAATAATGCTGAAGATTCAGACAACCGTAGCCACTACTTTGAACTCGTGCTGTGTTTCAATCGACCGTTTTATTGCGATTCGGTTTCCTTTTCGGTATCAGGACATTTTAACCAAGAGGAGATGTTTGGCGGTCATTATTTTGGTGTGGTTTATCTCATTGTGTCTTCCTTTTCCGATATTGTTCTTTCAACCAGGAAAGGATCGAAAAGAACTTTTAGTGTCCATTACATTTACAACGTGTTTAGGTCCATTATTAGTGATCTCCTTTTGCTATATAATCATTTTCAAAGTGGCCAGAAAAAAGTTTAAGAGAATTTTGCCAGCTAAAAATATTCCTGACTCAAGCGAAAATATAAGAGTTCGTGGCATTCAAAATTTCAAAGCTATCAAAACAGTCGGTTTTGTTTTAAGTGCTTACATCATCACATGGGTGCCCTCTATAGTTCTGCTGTTGGTTGACTTGGTTGTCAAAGAAGAACGATGTAGAAGAAGGAAAATTCAATTTGTTGTATGGCCTTGGGTTGAGGCAATCGCCTTTACTTCATCAGCGATCAACCCATTGATTTACTACTTCAGAAATAGCGACTTTCGCCGAGCCTTTCGCCGCACCTTCCATTGGTTGCCCTGTGTTCACGCACAAAATGCATCACACCTTAGAGCACAACCAGAGCGAAACCAGAACATTCGAAATGTTGGAACTTGTGGCAACCTACCATCTAAGGAGACAGACGTCTGAGGACAATCTGAGGAAGGACCCTGCTTAAGAACAAGCCTAAGCCAACAAACCACATAAAAAGTTCATGTTCAAAGAAAAGCCTTAGTTTTTAAGCTTTTTCTAGAAATGGTTGTTTTTTTCTCAGGAAATGTTGGTTTATGTATAATAAAAATACAATTTCTTTGTCATGTTAAACAACTCTTTCAAGGCATGAAGCTTCATTCCCGTCAAATTTCCATCACCGAGCATTAATTTCTATGATAAGAAGAACGCTATTTTATAATGAAAATTTAGACAGTTTTGATCTACAGAATTGAGAGGAGAAAGAAGACCAGCCGATTCTATGATCCTGCGAGGATTGAAATATCCTCTCTCAAACTATCTTTTTTATTTATTCGTAGTTTTAATACGATGGTGTGGGCCGGTGGGAATTGCTTTTTGGCCAGAATCACACTCTGAAGATTTTATGTGGTTGCATGCTGTTTTCACCGCGCACGAAACCGCGTTAGCGGTGTTTCAGCTGACTACCTTCTTAGAAGTTTCTCCTTATAGCTGCTTGCAAATCCTTACAATAATGGGATATATGCCCTACTTTCAGTCCATGGATTCCCTCTTCGCAGATCTTTGCACAGTTTATGTCCTAAAAAAATAGAAATGACGTATATGAATATTAAATAAAGCTTTGACGTATTCAGTTGCCTCTATGACGTAGGTGGCAGGCACATAATGAGGAGAAGGGAAAAGATAATTTTAGTGCGGAGGTCCTATATCTCTGCTTCTTGCACCAGTCACGCATTATGTCCTTAAAAAATAGAAATGAACGTATAGGAGCATCAAATAAA